AACTGTACTTAGTTGAACTTTTCAATCAACGATGTCTGAGTTGTTGTGCAAGTGTGCATGTAGCAAATGATGAGTCTGTCGACCCGACACCCGGTGTTTATCACCGGGTGTAGGGTCGAACAAATCATCAATTGACACATGCACACTTGCTCAACAGCTTAGGACATCCCTGCATGAAAGTAAAATAGTAAGTTAAATAACCTAATCAATAATAAAGCTTACACCAAGGGATGGTCGAGGGGCGGGTTTTGGAAACCGGCAGCCGCCCCCGCTACAAAAATATTCACTCGTACCCGTTTCGGGTTTGATTTCATATAACCCGTCCCTATCCTGTATAAAACCCACCCCGTAACCGTAAAGAAATATATTTTTTTTATACAGATAATTTATTTTATTAAAATATGCCTTAATATTAATATTTATAATATAAAAAATATATAAAATTAATTAAAAAAATATATATATAAATTCATCTATTCCTACCTACTTACACCTAACTTAAGATATACAAATTCATCTCTTCCTATATCTGTGCATTTGACATGTTATTAAAGATTAAATTAATACAGGGGTTGAGTATTAGTTTAGTCCAGGACATGCAATTTTAACAAGGGGAAGGAATAAATTAAAATAATAATTAACAAATTAAATGATTAATTACAGCTGGGAACAGAATCAACAGTTGAATTTTCCGAACAATCAATGTCAAAAATCAAATTAATAAACCTAGTTTAAAATTGGCCTTGTAGAGAGATTTGTGCATCACAAGTTGACCAAGTCGCTGTCCCTGTCAAAAAACGATTTGTTCGATGCTACACCCGGTGAAAAACACCGGGTGGGTCTTCTGCTGCCACGTGTCTCTTTTTTTGTATTTTATAATAGATTCCCCGTTAGGGTTTACCTTTAGGGGTTTTAGAAAAATAAAAAAAGAACACGTGGCAGCAGAAGCCTCACCCGGTGTTTTTCACCGGGTGTAGCATCGAAGGAACCTCAAAAAACCCTCATACAAAATACCCACGTCATCCATCGTTGACTAAATCAAACGGAACTTACAAGGGCAAAACAGTCCAATCAAATTAATTTAATTAATAATTAAGAATCCTACGTGGGCAAGTAGTTTATTTTTTTAAGATTAAAAAAAAGTTGTAGACGCGTTTTAGCAGCCAACAGTGACCAAAATTTAGTACTATATATATCTCACTTCCCATAACGCTTTCTACTCATCAAAATCAATCACCTTCATTTCAAAGCATATATATAAATATATATAATTATAATTTGCTCCTCAATATAAAAAAATAAAAATAAAAATGAAAAGCTTCATTTTCTCTCTCATCAGCATCACGATCTTGTTCGTGATAACGAACAACATCCCCGTAAGCGAAGCGCAGCTTTCGACGACATTCTACGACAGCAGATGCCCTAACGCAGCTACTATTATCCGAAACTCCATCCGAAGAGCCGTTTCACGAGAGAGGCGCATGGCGGCCTCGCTCATTCGCCTCCACTTTCACGACTGCTTCGTTCAGGGTTGCGACGCTTCGATCTTATTGGACGAGACACCTTCCATTCAATCCGAGAAAACTGCTTTCCCTAATATCAATTCCGCACGTGGCTACGAAGTGATCGAAGCCGCCAAGGCCGAAGTTGAACGTGCATGTCCCGGTGTCGTTTCTTGTGCCGATGTACTAACCCTAGCTGCTCGTGATGCCTCCGTTGCTGTAAGTATATATACATTTTACATCTATATATTTATAATGATAATTCATAATCTCATGATTAAATTAATTAAGATCATAATTAATTAATTAAAATTAAAAAAAAAATATAGGTTGGTGGGCCATCATGGAGTGTGAGACTCGGACGAAGAGATTCAACTACCGCTAGTCGATCACAGGCGAACATTGATCTTCCGAGTCCGTTTGTCGGTCTCGATGCTCTTATTTCCGCTTTCGATATCAAGGGGCTTAATGCAAGAGACATGGTTGCTCTATCTGGTAATTAATTAATTATTATATTAATAGTATATACATAATTAATTTTATGTTAATTAATTACAAAAAATGTGTAATTTATTAATTAATTAATATGGTGTTTGAATGAATGAATGTGCAGGAGCTCATACACTAGGTCAAGCACAATGCTTCTTGTTCCGTGGAAGAATATACAGCAACGGAACCGACATTGACGCCAACTTCGCCAAAGAAAAAAGACGAAGATGCCCTCAAACCGGCGGCGATTCTAATTTGGCGGCGCTTGATTTGGTGACACCAAATTCGTTCGACAACAATTATTACAGGAACATTGTGCAAAGAAAGGGTCTTCTCCAGACGGATCAAATACTTCTAAGCGGATCGACGAGCGCCATTGTTACCGATTACAGCCGAAACCCTAGAACTTTCGCAGCTGATTTCGCGAGGGCTATGATTAAAATGTCGGAGATTCAGCCCCTTGTCGGACAAGCTGGAATCATCAGAAGGGTTTGCAGCGCAATCAACTAGTTCATTCATTAATTATTTATTTATTTACCTGGTTATGCAATTCATTTTTTATTATTTTTAAAATAATTAGCTGATATTGATTTCACATATTCTTTCATCGTTCAATAATTGTATATTCAATATTTACAGTACTATTTGTATTTTCTTGTTCTGTTAATTATTCCTCCATGTAATCTTTGATCTTTTGAACCAATTAATATAATGGAATTTTCATTTCTATATATTATTGTCTATTTATAATATATATCGAGTTATATTCATTTCAATATTAGTAACAATATGCATGGCCACGTGTTCCCCATGAATCCACAAACGTCCACGCCTCACACCATTTGTATACGGGAGGTGATATTCGCGGTAGGAAAATTACAAATGCCGGTTTAAAAAATCCACTCTCTATTTATCTTTCTCTCTCTACAATTTTATTTTTAATAACTTTTATATTACAAATCGTTCCAAAACCCATGTTATTGTAGCGATTTGCAAAGAAAAATGAACGGAACCCAATGAGGTAAAATTTATTCGTTTTTGTTCTTTAAATCGTGAAAACGCGACTCACAACCAATTTGGACGCCGAAAAATACGTTTCACGACCAAACTAGGCGCAAAAAAGCTAAGGATTCGAACACGGGTGCATTATGTACAAATATCAACTTGCCTAACCAACTAGGCTACAGTCATTTTAAATATAAATATTTATTCATTATACTGGGCAAAAAATGAGTGCATCGAATGAGGATCGAGATACGAAATTCGTTTTTGTTCTTTAAATCGCGAAAACGCGACTCACAACTAATTTGGACGCCGAAAAATACGTTTCACGACCAAACTAGGCGCAAAAAAGCTAAGGATTCGAATTCGGGTGCATTATGTACAAATATCAACTTGCCTAACCAATTAGGCTACAGTCATTTTAGAATATAATTATTTATTCATTATACTCGCCAAAAAATACGTTTCACGACCAAACTAGGCGCAAAAAAGATAAGGATTCGAACTCGGGTGCATTATGTACAAATATCAACTTGCCTAACCAAGTAGGCTACAATCATTTTAAATATAATTATTTATTCATTATACTGGGCAAAAAGCAACTAGGCTATAGTCATTTTAAATATAATTATTTATTCATTATACTGGGCAAGAAATAAAAATACGCGTTGCTACCGAGACTCAAACACGGGTCTATTATGCAGTACACGAAATGCCAGACCAACTAGGCCACAGAAAGTTTTGTTAACTAATACTTATTTAAGTGTACTCATTAATTTCTGTTATACTGGGCAAAAAAGAAAAATTGAACCGGACGACCGGTCCAGAACCGGCGTCTGGATCGGACGCTTGAAGTAATTTTCTACGCCCAAAATGGGCGTGGGAAAGCAGTTTCCACGCCTAAACCAGGCGTGGAAAATTCGAAAACCCAACACTAAAAACAGCCCCAAATCGCAATTTTCATGGGATTTTCACATGATTAACCACAAATTCAATATATATAACTACTTTAGATGATTAATTACCTTTTAAATTGACGAGATTTTCTGATTTGGGAGGATTTGTGAGAGAGGTTGAAGGTTTTTGTGAATTTTTGGGCTTTTGGGGAATTTGGGTTTTGGGTGGATTTGATGATTTTTTGAGAGAGAAAGAGAAGACTATTGTGAACGACATTCGTAAATTTGCTGCCGCGTATATCATTTCAGTTTGTATACGTAGTAACGGATTTTTTGACATTTTAGGCTATATAATATTAATTAAAATTTAAATAAGGGCAAATTACGGCCAACCCCTGATTTATGGTTAAATTACGAAAACTTCCCTCATGTTTGGATAATTAAAGCCACCCCTCAACTACGTATTATCTTACGAATAAATCCCTCTAAAGGTAAATTATTTAAGGATGTTAAATCGGTAAAACCAAACCAAAAATTCAGTACGCCAGCATTTCATACCGTTTAACGAACTGAATATACGATTTGGTTCGGTAAATAACCGAATTACATAAATTTTATCTAAAAATATTTAAAAGGAGGGTGGCTGTAATTACCCAAACAAGAGGGGTTCTTTCATAGTTTGGCCATACTTCAAGGCGTGGCCGTAATTTGCCCTTTAAAGGCATCTCCAACGTTTGCTCTTTTGGACTGCTAAAAGTTAAATTATATGATATATAGCTGATGGGAACAAAAAATCTAGCTCCAACGGGCCAGCTAAAATTTTGCATGCAATGTATAATTGAAAGCCCAACTGATATCAATAGCAGATACGGTACATGGGCTGGTAAATATAAATATAATAAAATAATGAAAAAATATCTCAAATGTAGAGAGAGACAAAGTGGGCCACACCACTTTCCTTTAAATAAATAATATAATATAATAAACATGTATAATATAGATGTTATGATTGGAATAGAAATTATAAAAGTAAGAAGGCAAAACACTATTCACAAGCTAATATAAATATACCATTTTGATTTATAGCATTCTCCATTGGAGATGCTCTAAATAATGACTTATTTACTTTCTCAAATACCCCTAGAAAGTTTGGGACGCTGCCTCCGAAATTTCGTAAATTGAACTCGGCCCATAATTATTATTTTTTGAACTTTGTTGCACCAGAAAAAAAAAAAAAAGAAAAAGGAGAGAGAGAGAAAAAAAAAGAAGAAAAAGAGCATCTATGGGTCCGACCACGTTTCCACATATTAATGATAAGATAATAAGATGTAAAATAATTATTGTAAAAGAAGATGAGGATTGGCCCAACATATTGTTAGTTAATGATAATGACCATGCTAATTAATTATGTCCATTTCTTGTCATCACAGATGCATGGAATAGTAACAATGCAAGAATTAAATCAAATTTGCAATCTATCAAACTCAAAAAATAAAAACACAACATTAATTGCAAACATGGACTAATCCAATCCATTATTTCATAATAAGTCATAATAAGACAATACAAAAAAAAAAAAAAAAAAAAAAACACATTTGTGGAAATTGATACAATTATTAATGCAACAAAAAAAACCGTAAAAATAGTCGAAAATATGCTATATAGAACTAGTTGATGGCGGTACAAATCCTTCGTATGATCCCACTTTGTCCGGTAACCGGCTCAATCTCACTCATCTTAATCATTGCGGTGGCGAAATCTGCTGCGAAAGTTCTCGGAGTAGTACTGTATTCCGTCACTATACTGTCTGTCGATCCTCCGCTTAGAAGCACTTGATCCGACTGAAGAAGCTCCCTCCTCTGCACCAAGTTCCTAAAGTAGTTGTGGTCGAATGAATTAGGCGTCACCAAATCTAGGGGCGCCAAATTTCCGTCACCTCCGGTTTGCGGGCAAGTGCGTCTTCTAGTGGTAGCGAATCCTGGGTCGATGTTCGTTCCGTTGCTGTAAATTCTCGTGCGGAACGAGGAGCATTGGGGCTAAGACCTAGTGTGTGTGCTCCTGCATAGCGAAATTAATTCATATAATATTAGTTTTAAAAATAAATTTCACATTTTTTCGGATTATATATATGCAGTATAGAGAATTGTTAATTTGATCATGGGAAATCAATTACCTGATAAAGCAACCATGTCTCTAGGGGTGAGATTATTTTTGATACCGAAAGAATCGATAAGTCTTTGGAGAGTAGAATCGGGCCCCGGAAGATCCCTGTTCGCCTGGTCACGGTTCGCCGTGGTTGAATCCCTTCTCCCCAATCTCACGTTCCACGTCGGACCACCAACCTATAATTTTCATTATCACATTAAATTAAATTAAATATGGAGGTAATACGTTCTGAATGCAATAACGAACTTGTTATATGTTATATAATATATATATATATATATATACATATATATACTTACAGCGACGGAGGCATCACGGGCAGCTAGGGTTAGTATATCGGCGCAAGAGACGACACCAGGGCATATGCGCTCGACTAGGGTTTTGGCGGCGTCGATCACTTCGTAGCCTCTGACGGAATTGACGTTCGGAAATGCGGTTTTCTCGGATCGGATGGTGGGGGTCTCGTCCAATAGGATCGAAGCGTCGCAACCCTGGACGAAGCAGTCGTGGAAGTGGAGGCGGATGAGTGAGCCGGCCATTCGCCTCTCACGCGACACTGCTTGTCGGATTGATGTTCGGATTGTGGCGAGCGCGTTAGGGCATGTTGCGTCGTAGAACGTCGGAGGAGACAGTTGCGCTTCTGATGCCGGCACTTGCGAGAGCACGAGCATGAGTGCTAGTGCTGATGTGGCGAAAATTGTGGCGAAATAATTCATTGTGAATTAAGAGAGAAAGAAGAATTGAACAATTGAAAGATATATTATTTGCAAGTGAAGAATAAGGTTGGGTTTTGTGTCTGAATTTATAGTGCATGCATGAGGGTTTTTTGGTCAGTAGTGTTTGGCTGCTCAAACGCGTTGATTAGTATTTTTTGGGTATTGTTAGATTCGGTCTATTTTTTGTCAAATTGGGTGGTTGAGTACTTATTTTGTCCTTTTTTTTTTTTTTTTTTTTTTTTTTTTTTCTCTCTCTCTTTTATAAGATATTATTTTGGGCTTTTTCTCGAGATGCACGAGGTAGCATTGTAAAAAGGAAGAAAATTTAAAAATATTAATTTGTATTAGAAAAATAAAATACATAATATTAAAATAATGAGTTGTAAAATTTAAATTATCTCGAGATAACTAAAAGAATAAATTAGGCAGTGAAAATATAATGAAATTGAAAAATCAACATTGGTGTGTGTGGGCTAAGAGAGATTTTGCTTCACTCCCATGATAAGTTAAAAAAGAAATCCATATCGGTGTGTATATATACGAGAGATTTCAAACAGATTAAATGCAAACCTAAAAAAAAAAGA